TTTTGCAAAATCCGTGATGCATTTCTTTTTCTTTTTTTATAGCATGGTTCCCTTAGGGAAAAAAAATGAAAAGTAATGTTTTTTTCTTTTTAGTTAGTTTTGCAGTAGATATTTCAGTTTTGATTTCTTTTTTGTGTTTTTGAAAAGTGTCAGTGTTAGTTTTCATTTTAGTAACAGTTTCAGTTAACAATAATAACCCTGTTCTGAAAATGATTCAATAATTGCACATCAGGTGCAAAGAACACAAACAGCTACGATGGCTTAATAACAATAAACTACTTACATTTACCATCAAATCAGTTTACTGAATAGATTTTTTTTCAAACTGTTCATTTTTAATAATTTTATCCTTATATTTTTAACGTTATAGTCATTTACATAGATTCAGTGGGAATGGGTCAGTTTAACATACCCTTTAGCAATGAAGTGACATACAATATAACCTCATATCAAGATACTTCACCGAAACTATGAATGAAATGACTCATCTCTCAGCAAACATGGGTGTCTTTGGTTAAGGTGTGTGCATTCAGCTGACAGTGAGGGTTACCTCAGACGAATCCAAACCCGATGGTCTTTTTTTATTTGTTTGTGGCTTTAGAAATTAGTAGAACAAAACTTTCTGTTCTGCCAGCGTATCCATTGTCTTTTACAAGTTTCCCCAAGCACAGCTTTTGAATACCCGTAGCTTCAAATTCAAAATATATTTGGGGGACACCAGCATGCTGCTTAACAGCTGAAAGGTAATGCTAGATAGCAACACCTGCTAAGCAGTGAAAAACTATAAAACTATAAAACTAAGAAAACTAGCATGGCTTGGAAGTAGTCAGTTATCATTTATAAGCAATATACATAACCTGCACACTCAGATGCTAGGCCACTGCACCTACACCTCAAGGTGGACCTACAACGTGGGGCATTCTAATTAAGTGCCTGGTAGCATGAGTTACAGTATGGAACAAACAAAGTTAGTTCCTTCAGTGAGTTAAGAATGAGATAAGAATTTATCCTGAAACCTAGAAGATCTGATAATCAAGAGCAAAGTCACTTCTCCAGCCTGTGTACCTCCACCCCTCCTATTCCCCAGAGCCCCTCCTACTAACTCTAAGTTCTGATTGGTATACACTCAACCACCATCTTCCCCCCTGCAGTGTGATACGTGGAAATTGTCTGCGATGCTCTCTGAGCTTGGGAACGAATGACCCTGTGGCTAGGATTTGTGTAGGTGCTGTTAGACTGTACATCTATTTGTGGAGTTCGTGAAAGTAAGGCATGGCAAGAATAAGCTCAATGTCAGCTCACATGGCACAATATTCCTTACACCAGCAATTTTCCAACCATGTCCCAGAGACCCCCAGTGCTGTTTAATGTAGTTCCCTGCTCTAATATGTATGAACGCACGACAATTAGCAGAGAAGTTGAACCTTATATCACAGAACCACTGTCTTATACCAGTGAAGACAATAATTTAGCTGAAGGAGCCTTATTTTAGCCACACCCCTGCATTTTAGAACAGGAAGTGAGTCTGCATCCCTGTCTCTCATTGCCACATGGTTAGCAGTTAGACCCCAGGTCCCAAGGTCGGAAAATCAGTGTGTAATATTAAGAAGGGTCACTACCAAAACACACATTTTCTGCAATTAAATAAACGTTTTTGTGTTTCAATGAAAAATATTATGATTTCATGTGTGTACAACTAGTAAAAGCCGTGTTTGCTAGTCATGTACTGGATAGTGTTCTTGAGTTCTGCTCAAAATTAGCTAAAATTATCACTACCAAAACATCACCAAATGTTTCGGTAGTGACAATTTTAGCCAATTTTGAGCAGAACTCAAAAACACTATGTTATGATTGTTTTATTGGTGACAAAATGAAATATTCTGTAAGTAAGTAAGTAAGTAAAGTTTATTTATATAGCGCTTTTTACAACAGGTGTTGTCACAAAGCAGCTTTACAAGGAAATGAGCATTACAAAAAGAAATCCGGGTCCGAGCCCCCATGAGCAAGCCAGAGGCGACAGTGGCAAGGAAAAACTCCCTAAGAAACAGGAAGAAACCTTGAGAGGAACCAGGACTCAGAAGGGGAACCCTATCCTCCTCTGGTCGACACCGGATAGTAAACATTGTTAGTATAAAGAACATTGTTAGTATAAAGGAAATATTCTGTCTTTTATTTAAAAAAAATATAAAAAAAAATAGATTTCAGTCTGAAGTCCAAATCAGTTACAAGTCTGAAATGTGTTTTCAACTCTGACTTTGAACTAATTTGGTAGAATGATCCATATATTAAAAAAAGTACCAAGTTCTTTCTTGAAAATCACATATTAAGTTGGCATTACTTTACATATATGATATACAGTGATTCTATGATTAAATACATTTTTGATTAATGTTCTCTTAATAAAGCAAAAAAAAAAAAGAAGTCTGAAATGGGCAGTTGCTATTTACAAATGGCCAAAAAATGGAATTTCACTGCTGTTTTTGAGAACAGGAAATAATTTTTAAATGGTATAAATATATCTATTTTGAGTTTTTTTGTCAGATTATTTGTCCCGAGATTTGGTCTCGAGGTCTGGACGTTGGTTTCATCACTCTTGAAGTTGTACAGCTTTTCACAGTTATTTTAATGCCTAATTGTACAGGAGGTAATTTCCTACTTTCCTTGATTTTATTTCTAAATTAGCCGTGTCTGGTTTTCTCCCTCCTCCCCTGAGAGAATTACAAGCTGAATTTAGTTCCTCCAGATACAAATCTCTATGATTTCAGTGGTTTTCCAGGTAGATGTCGCATCACGTTGGTAAAAACGTTCCTTTGACTGCTGCAAAGTGCCGTATTTAGTCTTCTAACATGCTCATCATTTTCCGAACCATTCCATTTTCCTTCAACCATTTACTTGATCTGAGTGACAGAACTTCAGCTCCATCCTCCCTAAACTGGGAGAGCATCATCAGGAGGAGAGTCAAAAAAATAAAGTCTATCAGAGAAGTAAGATCTTGCAGGCTGATTAAAGAGGTGATTATAATGGCAGCTACAGGTAAAGCACTTCATATTCACATATAGCTACACAGTATCATCAAAACATTACTTTACATGCCCAATATCACATGATTCAAACATAAACTTCACACCTCCTGTCATAGCGTTACTGTCGTTTGGATGTGTAGGTTTTATCACTGAAGAGGAGTGTATTTTTAAACTAATCCAAGCCAAATAGGGCTTTAGGATGCGTATCATTAATAGATCTGGCTGAGCTGAATGCACTTTGGGATCTTTGAGTTTTCCTGCGTATCAGAACAATTTCATTAATTTCCGTATGAATGCTTGTGAGTATGTGAGTATTTTAGCTTCATTGATTTGCAGCTGCTGCTCTGTAGAGCACTGTATTTCAGCAGCCAGTCTCGCTGCATATTTCATGAGTCTACCAGTGTTACAGCCCAGAGGAACACACACACACACACACACACACACGCTCAATTGTGCTGACCACTGTTACTATGAACACTTTCATAAGTGCCAAAATGCAACATGGACTACAAGTACAATCAGACTTTTCTTGTTGTGTATTAAGTTATTGCTCATAACTCTCTCATTGTTTCATTTGCTCTAATTATTATCCAGTAGCTCTGTCTTATTCTTATTTTTGAAAAATTTCTTATATTTTATTCATTACTTTCACTATTTAGCTTTTCTGTTTTTAGTATTTAACTACTTGTACATAATTATTCATTCATTATTTTAAGTTTTTGCTATTTTTCCTATTTAATGGTTCATTATTTTACTGTTGAACTATTTGGACACAATTATTCATTCTTTCACTGTTTTTGCTATTTAGCTTTTTGTTATTTTTACTATTCAACTTTCAGTTACATTTACTAATTAAGTGTATTTGAACACAAGAGTGAGCTACTAAGTTATTTTCATTATTTTCACCATTGAACTTTTTGTTTCGTTACTCGTTTGTTATTTTTAATAGCTTTACTAAAATAGCTTTTTTTTACTTTCCACATTTTAGAATAAAACTGACATCTAATCAAAACTATAATTTAACACATATTAAATTATGCAGCGACCAAAAAGTGCAAACAAATCCTTATTATTATATTAAATCCTGATTATCTTATCTTATATTTGATTCTTCAACGTTGCCTTGCATGCATTTTTTCAAATACGCTGAGAACTTGATGCTTAAAACAGCTTTATGGGGCGTAAATTCACACATAGGCAATGTGTTAGACTTTGCAACTTTCTTTGCATTTTGTCTTTAAAAAAAAAAAAAATTAAGAAAAAGCCTTTAGATCTAAATGCCTATGGATCATTCTACTGAATAGTTTGGATTCCAATAGTTATAAACTACTAAAAAGTATTCAGACCTTAGATATTTATGAGAATTCTGTTATGATCTATTGAAACCCAAGGCATTATTAGAAATAGTAATTTAGCTTATTAGATAAATAAGCTAAATGTATATATAAAACCATATATATTTATGTATATGAGACTGCATCCCTGTCCCTCATGGCCACATGGTGAGCAGTTAGATCCCACTGTTTTGTAGTAAATGAGCCCCTAAGTCTGAAAATCAGTGTGGAACATATAGAATCATCACTACTAAAACAACAATTTTTGCAATCAAATATAGTTTTAAAAAAGTTTTAATAAAAAAATATTATGATTTTGTGTATGTACAACTGTTCAAAGATGAGTTTGCTAGTCATGTACTGGCTAGAGTTTTTGAGTTCTGCTCAAAATTGTCTAAATTGTCACCACCGAAACAGTCACTACTGAAATATTTCGAAGTTATGGTTGTGTTAGGAATGTTTTAGTAGTAACAAAATGGAATATTTAATGATGTATTTTAAGAAAAAACATAATTAAGGTACTTTGTCAAAAAGTCAGTTAAAAGTCTGAAAAAAATATGCTTTCAGTAAGATGTATCAAACTAAGGCTCCTCAAATGCTGAAATACGGCCATGTGTGGGTTTGTGTGTGAGTGGGCTCTCACCATGATGTCGTTGTGTATGAAGCCTTTGCGGTAGCGGGCAGGTTTGAGATGAGGGTATTCTTCAGTGCTGGTCACTCTGATGCCCCACGCTCTCTTCCACGCTTCATAAAGCTGCATATGGACGGGATACACTCCAGAATGGTGGGGGGCTACTGCATACCCCATATCCACAGGAATACCATGTTCCTACATATACACACACAAACACATAGGTTAGGGACAGGGGCATACACACTGTACAACTAGGACACAACATACAACACACACACACACACACACACACTGACTGGCAATAGTTAAATTAGCAGCTCAACTGCAAAACTAATGAAACAAACTTCACACATCTTGGTTGATATTCTGGTTGAATTTCTTCCTCCTGAGAGTTGTTTCAGTCACATTTCAAATGAAAATGAAAACGCAGCAGAACCTTGATCACCTCCCACTGTCTAGTCTGTTGCATCTGAAGTACTCCACTTTATTTTTGAGGCTGCAGATATAAAGGAATAGCCAGGTTCTGGGAGTTAGAACACCAGAGTCATTGAGTGCGTTTACACTCTGGGTCTACATGAGTCGGGCAGTAATCAGATTTCTGATTTGCACACAGTCAATAAACTCACAGAAGAAGACGTGACATAAAAGTAATGTAAAACTCAAACTTCATGCCACAGCTTTTTTTTTAAAACACTGCACAACTTTACCTGAAAATATGAACATACATCATCTAGAAGATGAAGAATATTTAAAATCTTCACTTCGTGTTTGGTTTCAGCGCCTCTCGTACATGCGCAGACTGAGAATTTCGAAAGAAATCAGAGTAAGAGTTTACACGCACTGATTAATCTGATTACTGAGCTAAAATCCAGCTCTCTTTATCAGATTTCTTAATCGGATTTCTAGATCGGCGTATGGTGTTTACATGACTACTCGAATAATCTGATAACTGCAGAAATCTGATTATGATTGGATTATTGAGTGTATGTAAATGCACTCACTGCTGTGCTTCTGTTTCTTCTCATATCGCCTAAGGAACCGGTACCTTCATTAAAATACTTCAAATTGCAAAGCCATATGAACAACCAATACTTTCACCCCTTAAAGGAAACCAAACACTCTATCTTTTATCAGTTCTCTACTTTTTAAACAAACGTTTATCACTGAAAATGCTCGGTAGTCAACTGCAGCAAGTAGTTTCCTGTAGTAGTGTCTCCACACTTCAAATCAATGACACTTTCATGCAAAAACAACAATCTGCAGCTCCCACTATCCTCTGACGATAATCGAAAGTAGGGCCTTAATTCCTATCTGTCCTGAGCTCTAATCTGAAGTGAGAAATCAGTCCAGACAAGTTTCTTACTGCTGGTTAGCATGCTATCGGCTGTGTCTTTTTCCAATAGCCAAATAAATCAGCATGAAAACCAGTGAGCTGTTTAGAGTCATAGGAAACTTCGAAGGGTTGTGAGTGAGTTTGACCTGTGTTCTGGCAGAAAGTGTTTATGCATGGTTTACAAAATGTCCTCATACAGAAATGATGAAGGTTACTTAGCCGCTCACTGACAAGTTACTCAAGAACGTTGCCAACTGTTCAGCGTTGCCAGATTGGGTGCAATTCCCCGGTATAGCATTTTATTTTCAAAAATTTGCCTTCTCAGTCACATGCTCAACAAGGCATCCACATTAAGCCACTCGCATTTCAGAGTAGCAAAGCATAACATAAGATATTTGTAAATGCGAGCAAAACATAAAATCGGCGTTTCACTGAATTACTGGCTTGCCCTAATAGAATACTTATAGAAGCGTTGGCCGTATCGTGCATGCCACTGCCAACTGTGGCCGTGAGCTCAAGAGAACATGTTTGGCCTTGCACTCTCTGGGTGGGTAGAAGGGCCCTCCCCCTTCCCCATCACTCAGTGTGACGCTAGCCAACGCAGGCATTTGTTAGCTGACAAAACAGAATTGCCAGTTAGCATTCTCCTCCAAGTGTGTTCAATGACGTATTAGCAGCAGTTTGAAGATGCCGTTGCGCTTCACTTGTCTTGGAGGAAGCATGTGCTTGCCTTCACCCTTGGTAGCATCGTGTGTTGGGGGAAACCTAGCTAGCATGTGAGAACTGGCAATGACTAAATTGGGGAAAACTCAGGGGATAAAAAAAAAATTCTAATATTCTAGATAGTATTTGAAAATGAACATTTTCGGCAGTAGATTGGACTAATTCTTTTTTTCTTTTCGATATTTGCCCGATACTTGGGATGTGTACAGGTACTTCCGTACTCTGTTAACCATTCGAAGTGCCAGCATTCTCATTAGCTCATCTGAGGCAGTCTCCATTATGTTACTCATAACATTTTTTGAAACGTATTCCTCTGGGTGATGCTAATATTGTGCAAAACCTGTGCTGTCACCCAAAAAGCTACTCCACAGTTCTACAGTAAAATCTGTTTTTTTTGTTTTTGGTGTTTTTATTTTTCTTCTTTGTGGTTAACAGTATGTTCATGAACATATATGGACCATCAAATATGAAAATTAGTTAGAACGCAGATCTCTACTTGATATGGATACCAGGAATCAGATCAGTGTTGTCTCTATGTAACAGTTTTCCTTTAAAGGAATTGTTCATTCAAATATGCTAATGTTTAGAGTAAACAAAAAAGGGGCATTCAAATGGAAGCTACAATGAAGCTAAATAGAGCTCCTGAACACATACCAGCATAACAACAAAAGTGTTGTAGAAGGGGCAGAGACAGAGTGCACAGCAGGTGTTTAATATGGGTGACTGGACAAACCAAGACATACACACACACACACATACACACACATATGCTGCCACTGGCAGTGATTATGTTTGAACCCAGTGGACACGTTAGTGTTTAATCACACAGGAAATGAAACATGTCCTCACAGCCGAGAACCAGAGCCACTTTCCATTAACCAATCTGAGTGTGTGTGTGTGTGTGTGTGTGTGTGTGTGTGTGAACATGGCATACATTTTCTCAGTACAGAGTGTGTAGGTCAGGATCTCAGCACGCTCAAGACATTTCATGCTTTACTGACCACAACTGACCAATGCTTGAGGGGGCATTTTGGCCTAAAACTAGACTTTGATATGTTGTTTATGCAACAATGAGCAAAAACATTATGACCACTTGCAGATGAAGCAAAGAATGTTGGTTATTTCTTAACAATGGCACATGTTAAGGTCTAGGATATATTAGGCAGTATGCGAACTGTTGGTTCGACGTATTGGATGTGGAAGAAATTGGCATGCATGAAGATCTGAACGACTTTGGCAAGTGCCAAGCCGTTATGGCCAAAAGACTGGGTCGGAGCATCTCCTAAAAGGCAAGGTGCTCCCGGTCAGCAGCGGTGAGTACCTACGGACAGTGGTCTGAGGAGGGACAAACCAAAACCCGAAACAAGGTGAGTGCCCAAGGCTCATCGATGCGCGAGGGCAACAAAGGCTATCTCGAGGGGCTACTGTCACCAGGTAAACCTGCCACAGTGCACACATTGTTTGTGAATGATTTGAAGAACATGATGAAGAGTTCAAGGTGTTGCCCTGGTCTCCAAATTCCCCAGATCTCAATCCAGTTTACCTTCTGTGGGATGTGCTGGAACAACAAGTCTGACCTGCGGCTCCACCTCACAACTTTCAGGACTTAAAGGATCTACTGCTAACGTCTTGATGCCAGATACCACAGAGCACCTTCAGAGGTCTTGAGTCCATGCCTCAGCAGGTCGGAGCTGTTTTGGTAACACGTAGAGGACCGACAGCATATTAGGCAGGTGATCATAATGCTTTTGCTTATCAGTGTAGTGTTATGGAGTATTCTACAGCCCAGTATTATATCCACTCAGTCTTATGGATCAAAGATTGAAATTCTCTCACTACAATACCCAGCATGCATTCCACCAATACATAAGTGATGCATGATCCTGGGTTTTCTGAAGTTAACTCTGACTCTGAACTCCTGCTGTTGGAGTTGACTCTTTGACTTTATTTAATTTAAACCAACCAAGTGCCAGAGCCATTGATAAATGTAAATAACAAAGATTAAACCTTCTTAAACAGAGTTTAGTCACATGTCATAGTGATATATAAATTTATGAATTATACCAAATGTCAGACAAATTTAAGTTATTAGCTGAAGTGGCTGGTAAGCAGTGTTGGATGGCATGGAAGTACTTGATCAGGTGAGGACAGTAACGCTCTAACATGCCTGCTAAGCCTATTAATTAAACAACATAAATGCAAACCCATATTTTTTTTAACACAATCCTCTAAATGACTTGCTTCAAAGATACATTTTTACCCATTGGGCCAATTACGAAATTATGTTTGACTCCAAGGATTTCAGCTCCATGAGTTAACTCTGGTTCTATGATGCACTCTTTGGCAGTCAGCGTCCCCTCGCTATACATCAAAAAAACAGTGGGTGTCGACCGATGTGGTGTCGACCAGTCTTGACTGTGAGATGTGCCACTGATCTACAGGCTAACAAACACAACAAAGTTAGTATTAGTGCATTGCTTCCCTTGGCCATAAAACATCGTAAAGAAAACCTTGATTTTACCTTTTCACAAGCTTTTATCTTGTTGCCATCCTCATCTGAGGAGTCATTACTACAGGGTATGAAGATAGTTACTACAGTTATATGGCTGCCATAGGATGTTTGGCCTCGTAGGAGTAACGTTATCTATCTGCCTTCCTTCTGTATTCGCCAAGTAAGAAAAGAAAACATTTAAAAACAGACATCATCAGAAGCGGGTTTTTCTAATCTTTAAACTCTTTCTTGAAACTATTGTGGCACCACTATAGGATGTGAGTAAGTAGGTTAACAGATGTGGTGATGGTTAAATTTTTCATTTTGGTCAGAGTGTCTCTTTAATATGAGCGTGTGTATGTGATGCTTGTTTGCTACTGATCTCTTGACCTTAGTGGAAACAGCCACAAGAAACGAGCAATGTGTTAAATCCCCAGCAACAAGACTGAACTTTTAACCCTGGACCATTAACACACTGCTTGGAGTATGTGCTACTTAAATTAGGCGTGTTAAAGTGACTACGAGGAGAGGAACATTGAACAAATGTTGTAAAAAATACATGCACACACACTCAAAGCGGCGATGGAGTGACTCAGTAAACGGGGAATTGGCTATAAATAGAGGGAACATGTTTCTCATAACATTGGAGCTTCACAAAGGAAGGATTTCTTAGTTAGCCAGTTAACTTAAGCCCAAAGTCAAGTTTGTTGATTAACAGAAGAGCCACACTTCCATACCAAAGTTTGGAATCACTTGTATGGTCGTATTTATAATTGCTGCGACCTTATTCAATAATAACTAATACAATATAGATTCAAATGTTATAAACGGCATAATAAATATTTGTATTATGAGTTCACTCTTGATGCTCTACAGTTTTTTTTTTCCAGTAACTGGAATCACCTACAGGCCTTTTCATTATTCTTTGCACATCTAACATTTCCCCATTATTTACACCTTGTGAAGTGGTACTCATCATATTAAAATCATTTTATGTATCTATACAATATGGCCAAAAGTATGTGGACATACTAATTATCGAGTGCAGGTGTTTTAGCCACACCCATTGCAACAGCTGTATAAAATCAAGCACATAGCCATGCAATCACCAAAGACAAACACTGACAGTAGAATAGGTTGTACAGAAGAGCTCAGTGACTTTAAACATGGTACTGTCACAGGATGCCACCTTTGCCCCAAGTCAGTTTGTGAAAATTCTGCCCTGCTAGATCTGCCCTGGTCAACTGTAATTTTAGTCTCAATTCACTCCATATTACTATTTATGGTTCTAATGGGATGTCCAACAAGCTTATACAGGTGTAATAGTCATGTGTCCACATACTTTTGGCCATAAGTCAATAACTCTGTCACAGATTGTCAGCAGTAACAACACTCCACATCACTTCACTGTGAATGAACAGCTAAACAGCAGTTTGGCAGTAAATGGTATGGATGTTTCACAACAGTACACCAAAGTCATGACATAGGTTTAATTTTAAATTTTTAAAAAATAAAACTTTGCACATAACTGTACTTTTTTTTACTTTTTTACTATTGTTTTTAGGGTATTTCTACGTATTCAGTGTATTTGATATATATATATATATTATATATATATATATATATATATATATATCTCTATTTTTCTCTAAGATTATATTTGGCGAATGGAGGAACAGCAAAGTAAGAACTTCATTGTACAGTGCAACTGCCTGTTTCTGCTGTGCATATGACAATAAAACTCTTGAATCTTGAATCTTTACTGCTTTGTGAAATAACCTCCAGGGCAAATAAACCCATCAAACAGGACAACGTATTGCTAGGTTTGTGTTCTGTCATCAGGAAGGTCATGATTGACCATTTCCTCACCAGTGCAAAGTCCTTGTTGAGAATCATCTGCTCCATCAGTGACGACTCGTTGTGAAAGAGATGAGGCTGCATGTGACTCCACATGTGAGGAAACCACCAGAACTCATCCACGTACTTCAGCAGGAGATCATCCCCTTCATCTTCCTCCTGCGTGCCTAAATACCCACGCAAAAACACACAGTCGTCAACATTCACCAACACATTTCAACAAGTGATTCAATGCAGTTTCACTGAAAAAAGTGTTCCAAACAATATTGTCAGCAGTCCCACAGTGAAAACTGACCGTCCAGAATATTAAACTGCTTTGATTACAATACACTTCGGTAACATCCTGTCTTGCCCTGTCCTTGTTTTTCTCTGTTTCAGCCTTTGTTTTCTTGTTCCATGTGCTTAAGTTTTCCTAGGCCATGTGCTTTTGTTGTTGTTCTGGTGTTTGTCTCCTCCCTGGTCCTGCCTCCATCTTGTCATCTGTTTCACCTGTCCATTGTCTGTAGCCCTCTCTCATTAGTCCCAGGTGTTTCTGGTTTGTTCCAGGTGTATTTATAACCTTGGTTGTGTGCTTTGTGTTTGCTTAGTGTTTTGGTTGGTCAGACCCTGATCTGTTATCTTACCAGTTTCTTTCATGTCCATGTGTCTTTTGTTTTCTCTCTGTCAAAGTATTTTGTTTTTAGTGATCCTTATTTGTTTAGTCATTTTTATAATTTCATTTCATTTCAAAAAGGTTAAATAATCTTCCTCTTATATGACCCTCCTCACACACATACACACAGAACACAGTTTAAAACCGCCTTCCTCCTGTACGCCACTCGATGTGCATAAACTCAAGATCGTGTGTGGGAAACTTCTAATGAAAAACATCAAATGAATCAAAAATAGTAAAACTTTACCACGGAAAAGGCAGAGCAACTTCCGCGTTGCCATGCCACCAGTTCTGTTGCCATGCCAATCGGGCCAGGATCGACCGTTTGTTGGCAGACTTGCATATCACGCTCTGATCATGTCAGTGTACGAACAGTTTTTTCTCGCTCAAACACGCATACCAACCTGTGTGGAAAAACTTCCCCGAGAAGCCCAGATTAAAGGTGAAGTTTGAAATTTGAGTCCGCAGCATGTTCTGTGTCTCCAGAAGAGCCTGGGGAGAAAACGAAATTAAAACGATTAATTTGAGATTACAAATTATTCTTTCAAGATTACACACTGCAGATGGCTTAATCCATGGTTACTTATTAACAGATTACATATAAACAGAGCAGATGTCATATAACATCCGCCTGAATTTTGATAGCATAAAATGTAGCACGTTTATCCCACCATAGACATGGTAAATTTTATGCTACTGAATTATGTCTTTTCATTTAAGTGACTATGTTCCACCCACAAACGTGTTCATCCAGGTTGATTAAACTTCAAAGGACACTGGCAAAAGTCCTGTTCAACTTAATGAGAAACAGTAGCGCGTCCACACTTTGTCCTATGAGCAAGAGAGCATTCAAATGTGGTATCACATCCTGTAATAAAGCCTTCAGGATGTCCATAATGGAAATGTCAAGTCTGCACATTAAGTCAAAACTTAAACAAACTGCGGATTTATCGGCTAATAGTTCAGTGCTTCAACTGCAAAACGGGTTGTGCTTCGGACCCCTTCCCTGAGCCGATGAATCTGTTGATCGCAAGCGCATTAAAAGATTATTCAAAGAGAACTCGGTCAAAACTTGGTTCTGTACCATTTCTATTGGTCCATTCATCACAAAATGCTCACACAATGTAAAGGGCAGCTGCTGTGTTCAAATGATGTAGAAAAAAAAGAAGGAATGGACGTGCAAATGTCTAGGTGCCCCCAGTAAAGTTGTATGTCTTATTGATTTTATAAGTGAAAATATGTTAACACATCCTCTACAAAGAGCAGACCTCTACATATTTAATACACAACTGCTGCACAATTACAGGGTTGCTGCACAATTTTTACAATCATACTTAATGCTGTTTATTACCTTTTTAAGATCTCAACAGAGAAAAAATAACAGTGCACAAAAGCTCAAATATGGCAAGTATTAACATCCGTTTTATTCAAATCAACTAGTTGTAAAAACATAAATATATGCTTTGAGATTGCATGATCCTTACCAATTTTTCTCAGCATGTTTGACTTTCAGTTTTGCTGTCCTCTTACGCTTCTTCAGTGGTCAGTTTCTGACCATAGGACTGCTGTTTGGCTGGGTGGTTTTGCTTTCTGGTTGTACTGAATTAGTTTAATGTATAATATCACATGTTCTTAAGGAATCATCTTACAATTTAAATAGGGATGTCCCGATTCAGCCCCCCGCCCTGCAATCAGACTGCAGTCCTTCAATATCGAGTATAAGATCATACTTAATCTAATCCAATTTTTGTGTTTTCATAGGTAACATGAAAAATAATGACAGCAGCACAATTTGACCCCAGCGTAGTTTACCTAAATTGTGCTGCTGTTATTACTTGAATGAATAAATATTACAGTAAAATTACATCATTTTTAGTGTGTGCATAGTGTGACAATCTGGACTGATGTTTAGATTTTTGGCTAATATTGTTTTTTTGACCTCCTTGATGATGTAGCTATCAGCTATTATGCACTAAAATCTCTGACATGAGCATAGTGGTAAACTCTGAAATGGAATATCTATTGTCTGTGTATTACTTATGTGAAATAACCATTTTATAATCTTATGAATTCCCTATGGTTTAATTTATCTTTGACGTGTGTGCAGCAGCTGCTCTATTCTCTAATTTTTGAACTCACCATTTCTGCTAACACTGAAAAACCGGTGAAGACATTCTCAAAGCCTAAAGTTTTTTTTCACATTTATTTTAAGACTTTATACGACCTTTTCAAGTTTCCGTAGGAATCCTGATTTATTGCTCAATGTACCATACCATGCATCGTGGCCTCTGCAAAGGTTATGGAACATTTTGTATTTGATCTTTTTCCCAATATGTTAAAAGGCAACTGTGCACTAATACTGGCCTTACACAAATCTGTGCCCTGTAGAGGGTGTGTTAACATCATTTGACCAGGGGTGTTCAAACTTTTGCATATAACTATAGTTTTGCCATGACAGCAACAAAACTGAAACAATATCAGTAATGTAAAGCGGACAACGTGCTTTATTTAATGAAATAACTTGCCTAGTGAAAATGCACAACACTTTCGCAAAACAATTTGTGTACAGTTAGTTCCTTATTAGGTTGTCCAACCTAGCAAGAGTAGCAATGAAAGAAAGGATGTGTGGACAGAGCCTGGATGGGTCACTGTCTTCAACCCTGCATACCCTTTCCATTTGAGTGTCTGACTCACTCCGCACGTGTAAAGGCAGATTTCACATTTGTGAAAAGATAAAAAGCACTTGTGATAACCCTGCTTTGGAGTCCATCAAGTCATTAGAGGGACAGGACATAATGTCCCAGTGGGGATTTGATAAAATGACCGTTCCTCTTCTTCACGGTTTGAACAGTTTCATTTCGCAGCATGAATCGGAGCACTCAATGTAACCACTTTGACAATTTAGCGACCTGGAAAGAGTGCTTAGCTTCTCAGAGGCAAGCAGAGTGATCTCACACCCGTCAATGTCCTCTAAACTCCGTATAATTCCTGAATTCAACAGGCGTGAGTATGTTGTCGTGGCCAAAGAAGAATTTGTCTGAGGTGGTCCCATTAGTATAAATTAACCCTCAGGGGTCCACAAACGTGTCCGCATGTCAAATTCGATATTTATTATACATGTTTCTCCATCTTTGTGATAATACAGCACAGAAATACAGTTCATTTCCTGAATCTGTAGAGTCACCCTTTCCATCCCCTTTTATTGCGAGACCATACGTGACTCACATCTGGAGCTATGAGTCTATGAAGAGGGGCTGAGATACACGTCAACTGCCTCTCACCATGTGTAATTTGTGCATTTGTGTGTCCGTCTATATGTTGTGTGAAACTGAAGGACTGACCCATCACATCAGAACCCTTTATTCTTCATTCAGACATCGGAGACACCTGTGAAAGAAGTTGCTGCAGTGGTATACAACGATTATAGAGCATTTTGACATTGACTGTTAACAGTGCTCTAAAACTAAGCGCAAACACAGTTTTATCTTCAGAACCTTTATCTTTAATCTTTAGAATTTCAGTAATTCTAAAGATCCTTAAAAGGTATGATTGTCTTTTAAATAAAAGAACAAATGCAGTTTTAGGAGCTTGTATGTTTTCTACAGAAGGTCTTAAAATGGAGAAGATATTGATACTGATCCTTTGTCTATTCCTTTATAAGGATACATTTTTAATGCAGAAGTCAGTGAAGGTACGGACACTTTCTAAAACTACACATATAATTTTAGGAGCTTTTTCAATTTAAGCTGAAGTCAATAGAAAGATTTTAGCGAAATTTTCTCTTATGTGCACCCATTGTAAATGACTTCCCACAATCCTTTTCAGTTCAAGTCCAACCCCAATTTCCCTAAAACAATACTTTGAGACTTACTGGAGTTCCTATAGATTAGGAATGAGCATGCTTGCAGTTCCAGGTACCAACATTCGATTTCTGAAGTCACTGTGTGAACTGAACTACACTTTACCACTGTGAAACGCCAGAGGGGGACCCTCAGGGCTGTTTAGGTCTTCGGAGAAGGCCTAATGATTTCTGGGAACAAAAAATTATGTTTGATTTTTAGTTCATTTTATTTAATAGAATCATGCTTGTATTTAAACTCTGACCTCTGATGGGGTTGTGCAGGTATCACAGTACTACTCTTGTTTCATTGTTATGTTTGGATAGGAAACAAAGGGGTCAAATTCTTGAAATGCCCAGCAGAAAAGAGACCAATCAGAAATTGTTTTTCTCCATGGTATTTAGGTAGATACAGCTAAACAGGCTCTCCTACTGGTTAGGACTTCAGGAGCTGATGAGAAGGTCTCATGCAGTAGAATAATCACCTGCATAATTAGGAAGTAATAGAAGAATCAACCAATCGGCTGCAAGCTTCCAGTAAAACATAGAATGTCATTTCAAACCTGTGACTATCTGTTTTTAATTTAGAACAGCCAAGAAAATGTTCATGCAAATTGTTATTAGCTTAGTTCAAATAAACAACTAGTATTCCATGGGGGCGCTAGCAGAATTTAGCATTATCACAGAGGTGGGTTTTTTCATTTTGACATTTACAGCTTGAATTGAAGGCCTAGCTTTAATAGTCATGGTTTGCTACTGCAAAAATACAAGCCTTAAAGCAAGCATGTTGCTAAGGACCTGATTGGGAAGTCAGAAGTAGTGCAATTGTATTACTAATTAGGCAAACTTCTCTAGCTGTCAGTGAGGGCCAGAAAAATGTTGGAACATCATCCACAAGAGAAAATACCTCGTATCGAAGAAGACAAGTCTTTATCAGTATCCAAAGCTGTACTGGTTAGCTGCAGTGTTAGCTCATCAAGACAAGACATAATAACACCAGTGCTGTCAGCTAAAAAGTAAGCTTACACCCCAGTGTAGGATTTGGCATTTGTTTGTTTGCTTTTTCCATCCCTGCAGTCAACCGAATATCCATTCATGAACTCTTACAGATACCTGAATATCAAAATTAGTCAGAATGCACATCCCTAACAGCACTTGCAGGATCAGGTGATTTACATTAAAATTGGAAGTGAGCGCTGCAGGGCTGGGTGCACCCATTGTACATGACTTCCCACAATCCTGTTCACTGTTTACAAACATGAAATCATGTGCAAAATACATGCACACTCTATGTGTGAGGGATCGGTAACAAGTGTGGGTAGGAGGTGGCGAGGTGACGGGGTTGTGCTTGTGAGTATACAAATAGGTGTGTGTGTGTGTGTGTGTGTGTGTGTGTGTGTATGTGTAAGCGAGAATCGGAGTGTGTGTGTGTGTGTGCGCGATCGATCTTCTCTCTATGAGTAATGGTATTTGGTGTTGGCAGGTGCCTCGGCAGCACAGCTCTAAAAAAACAGCCCCATATTTCCTGCCTTACACACCATGCAAATACAATCAATATCTTTCACCTGACTGTCAGCTTCTACTGTGTGTGTGTGTGTGTGGGTGTGTGTGTGTGTGTGTGTGTGTGTGTGTGTGTGTGTGTGGGTGTGTGTAA